ATCTTCCTTCCAAGGAGTGGCTGGTGGGTTTGAACTGCCAGCCTTCTGGTTAGCAGTCAAGTGCCTTAGGCACTATGCTACCGGAGCTCCCAATATATCTAATGGATATGGCTAAATGAATTATACAACATATACAGTTGCCTATGGCAATCGCTGGACAAGATATATGTTCCTACACCTTCCCAAGTCCTCAAGTGTGTGAATGATGCTTTATAATTTCCCTCATTAAATTTAGTATAATGGGCCCCTTTATGCCATAGAATCAAGCTCTCTCAAAATTTACTTTCCATTTTTCAGTTTTCCCGAACTTAGCATTCCATGGTCCAGTTTATCTGGAGCTATTTACAGACTCATTAACAACCTGCAGATAACACAATCTTGCTTGCTGAAAGTGAAGATGACTTAAAGCACTTACTGATGAAGATCCAAGACTGCAGTCAACAACAACAACAACAAAATGATCTCAACTGGACCAATAAGCAGCATCACGATAAATGGAGAAAAGATTGAAGTTGTCAAAGATTGCATTTTACTTGGATCCACAATCAACTCCCATCAAAGCAGCAGTCAAGAAATTAGATGCCTAATTGCATTGGGCAGCTTTGTTGTAAAAGACCTCTTTAAAGTGTTAAGAAGCAAAGATGTCACCTTAAAGAGTAAGGTGTGCCTAACCCAAGTCATGGTATTTTCAGTTGCCTCATATGCATGTGAAAGCTGGACAGTGAATAAGGAAGACCAAAGAAGAATTGATGCTTTTGAGTTGTGGTACTGGAGAAGAATTCCGGAAGTACCATGGACTCCCAGAAGATTGAACAAATCTGTCCTGGAAGAAGTGCAGCCAGAATGCTCCTTGGAAGCGAGAATGGCCAAACTTCTCACCTACTTTGGTCATGTTATCAGAAGGGACCATTCCCTAGAGAAGGATGTCATGCTTGGTAATGTGGAGGGTCAGTGAAAAAAGGGAAGACCCTCAATGAGATGGATTCACACAGTGGCTGCAACAATAGGCTCAAGCATACCAAAGATTGTGAGGATGGCACAGGACTGGGCACTGTTTCGTTCTGTTGTACATGGTGTTGCTGAGTTGGACGCAACTCAATGGCACCTAACAACATTCTTTTCAGACTTAGAACTGTAATTTTCTTCCATTCCAGTACCTGGACTAGCAGTTGGCTTATCTTAGTCTTTTTCAAACGCACACAAAAAAACTGTTTTTAGCTGTTAGTTTCCCAATCTATTTCGTGGTAGACACTGGAAAAGATACTATTTTTATTGCACACTTTAAACAGACTTTGCTGATGGTGGTGTTAGCATCCAGATGTCACTGGCTCGGCTCTTCTGAGGCCCCAAAGGATCCATATCTGCATCACCCATTTACAGCCTACAAGTTTAAGTTGTGATTTGAGTGAATGTTTATAGAGCCAATCATTTGCCATTCAGTAATTCATACACATTTTGTATATAAGTATTTTACTACAGGTTGTGAACAAACAAGCCACATTGAATTATATAGTGTTTGTCTGGGTGCACTGCTAAAAGCGTTCCACATGAATTTTCAAATTTGGATAAACAGAATTACAAATTGCTTCAGGGATTGTTCATAAACAGTGGAAGCAGCAAATGGTTAAACCCTAAGATCCAAAGATCAACTTTTATATAACCAAGTACATACTTACCAAAATTCAAGAGCAGGCAGTGTTAAAAGAAATAAAAATTCAATGAAATTTGAACAAAACGTTTATTCTGAGCTGTTGCTCTGTATGCGTATAGGCAGACCATTCTGATTCCAGGAAAAGGAAATGGCTAGAAGAAGCTAGTGTCCTAGAGTGAGGAATCTGTTTAAGATTAAAATGAGAGATTTGTTGAAAGTAAAAAAGAAAACTTCAATAAGAGAGACACAGAATGTCGCAGTGAAATTCAGTACTCCAGAGTGGCGAGGTTGTAGAGACATTTTTATAGACTAAGAACAAAGAACTCAAGATACACCGTTTTGATGGGAAGTTACAGGCTTAAATCACTGGGATGCTAGATCTTTGTGGGCAGAGAAACGGTGCTTGAAAGAGGTTAGGTTAAAATATGTATATATCTTTCTTAGATTGGTTACAACTTGATAATTGCAAACTTAACTCGATAAAACTGAGGTTTGTGGGTAGTTACAACATAATTACAGGACATTCCTTCCTTAGAAACACACTACTCAAGTAGAGTCTTTCCTATGGGTATTTGAGTGGAAGATATAGATGAAGTTCTGCCTCAGCTGCATAATAAGTCTTGTACAAGGGTTAAGGGAAAAGCAGGAGTAATGAGCTGGGGTCGGGCCCAAGCCTCAAATCAGTGGTTTCAGATTAACCTTGCACCTCTATTGTAAATTCCGTTTACACACTAGGTACAATGGAGCTTATAAAGAGAAGAAAACCCATTGCTGTCAAGTTGATTCCGGCTCATAGTAACCTTGTAGGACAGAGTAGAAGTGCCCCAGAGGGTTTCCAAGACTGTGATGTTTATGGAAGCAGACTGCCACATCTTTCTCCCACGTTGAGGCTGGTGGGTTTGAATTGCTTACCTTTCAGTTAGCAGTGAGTGCTTAATCATTGCGCCACCAGGGCTCTTTATACAGAGGAGGGAGAAATATATAAGATCAGCCACTGGCTAATCTTAAATGATTGATTGAGTCCTGCCCTACCCACCTTTTATTGAGTTCACAAAATAGTCTGGCCCCTGCATTCAGCTTTTGAAATTCAGGTTTAGTAAATGGGAACAGGAAAGACTGGATTTACCACTTCAAGTGAAAGAAAAACTGCTGGATTAATTTTAATCAGAGATTTCTTTAAAGTATTTGATTTCATAGGTAAAGTAACTATCTGCTATCAATTTCTTTCTTTGACAGCAGTAACATTTATATTTCCTTGTTTGTAAAAATTATTTTGTCCCTCAGAACCATTTTATTTTTATCTTTTAAAGTACTGATTATTAATCAGATTTGTGCACCAGAATCACTAGAGAAGGCTTTTTCAAAAAAATTCAAGTACCTGTGTATTTTCTGAGATGGCACCACATCTCGCCTATTTGAAAAAAACTTCAAAAATTAGAAATTCTACTTTAATGTTTTTTTCATGTGCTGAACTAGACTGTGTAAAGGAAAAAACTTTAAAATGTTCTGATTTTATGATTATATCAACCCTTTCTCGCCTAGCTCACTTACTGCCATCAAGTTGGATCCAACTCATAGCGACCCCTCCTTGGGTTTCCAAGGCGGTATCACTATGGAAGTAGATAGCCCAAACTATTGGTAAAACAATATTAAAAATAAAGTAAGAACAAAACAAAATCAATGTAGGATATATAGACAGTGTTGTTGTTATTGTTATATGGTGTCACGTCGGTCCCGACTCATATTGATCCCTCCTTGGGTTATATATAGAGAGTAGGAAAAACAAAAATATATTCAAGGCAAGAAAAAGCAAGATAAAAATAGTGGAGAATTTTTAAATATGGCGTTGTAAGGAACAGGAAATAATGTATTATAGAAGGAAGGGCATCAGGCAAAAAATAATGGCTGCCTCCAGCTGAAACTCTTCAGTTCTAGTCAGGAAATATAGAATAGTTTTTTACTGAGATACATGATACATAATGTCCTTACTAAAACACTTGCCGTGTACAATTTATGGCCTCACAGTCTGGAACTAAAACTCTTAAAAATTAAGATTTAAAAATGGTTTTCATTTTAAACCATGACATAGTTTTCTTTTTTTAATCCTAGGGTTCAGTTAAGGACCAATTAAAAGCATATGGAGCTCTTACTGAGAATGTGACCAGGAAATACACCCGCCAGATTCTAGAGGGTGTCCATTATTTGCACAGTAATATGATTGTTCATAGAGATATCAAAGGTAAGTAATGAAGTCTTTTTATTTTAAGTACGTAGTTTTTTTGTGAGTGTAAATGAAATAGATGATTGAGAAATTTACCTTTTAATAGTTCTATCTCTAAAGTACCACAGGGAAATAATTCTGTTTTCTCAGTAACTTAATCAGTGTTCCATTAGACCAGTCAGTCTCTCTTAATTCTCTAGTGCTGCTATAACGGTAATACCACAAGTGGATAGCTTTAAAAAACTGAAATTTATTCTCTTGTAGTTTAGGAGGTTGGAAGTCTGACTTTAGAGTTCTGGCTCTAGGGAAAGACTAGGCTAGAAGTCCAAGTTCAGAATGATGGCTCTAGGGGAAGACTAGGCTAGAAGTCTGAATTCAGAGGGCCAGTTCTAGGCGCTGGGTGGAGATCCCTTGACCTTAGGCTTCAGCTCTGCTTCCCAGACCTGCTGACTCACAGAGCTCCAGGGGCTGATGAGCTCAAGGCTGTTGTTGTTGTTGTTATGTGCTGTCGAGTCATAGCGACCCCTCCTTGGGTTTCCGAGGCAGTATCACTACGGAAGTAGGATTGCCCAACCTTCCTTCCAAGGAGTGGCTAGTGGGTTTGAACCGCCAGCCATGTGGTTAGCAGTCAAGTGCCTTAGTCACTATGCTACCAGAGCTCCCTGAGCTCAAGGCTAGCAGGCAGTATAATAGATTGTTGAGGGATATGACACTTAACTGCTATCTGGAAGGTCAGTGGTTCAAACGCACCAGCTGCTCCATGGAAGGAAGACGGGGCGATCTACTTGTGTAAAGATGTATAGCCTTGGAAACCCAGTGAGGATTACTATGAGTCAGATATGATTCGATGGCAGTGAGTTTTTTGGTTTTTTTTCATAGATTGTTAAGGAGCTCTGATGACATAGTGCCAAAGGCATTTGACTGCTAGCCAGAAAACGGTTGGTAGTTCAAGCCCACCAGCCTCTCCAAGGAAGGAAGACTGGGCAGTCTACTTCCGTAAAGATTTACTGCCTCAGAAACCCAAAGGGGGTCACTGTGAGTCGAAATCAACTCAGTGGCAGTGAGTTTGGCTTTTTGTTTTGATTGTTGGCTCACAGGCTGCAAAGGCAATAATCCCCAAAAAAGGAGGCAGCATGGCAGGCCACTGGTTCAAGGCCAGGAACTGGAGATGATGATAGACCAAATGCAGGATCCAAAATGAGCCAAACAGGTAGAGACCATTCCCAAAGCTTTTCCATATATACTGAAAGCAGACCATACCCTGAAGACAACTCCTCTTCAACTAATTAGCTACTGACAGCAGATTCCACTGTAGAGGTGATTACAGTACATCCAGCATGAGGAATAACTACATCCAGCTGCCAAGTCACTCAAACTCACAGCCCAGCCAAGCTGACACACCACCTTAATGACCACACCCACAAATGGGAAGTTCCATGGTGGAGGTTCATACAATCAGTAAAGTTCAAAAGATCATAAAAATGCCTTAGAGCAAAATGGCAGAGTCTGTTTGAAATTAAAAGTAAAGAGCTTTTGTTGAGAAGCAAAGCAGTTTACAAATTGGGAATTATAGGATCCAGAGGCTTCTGAATGAAGTGATCCAAGGAGGAGACAGTTCAGAGAGTTTTTATAAGAAAATACAAAGAACTGCAGTCAAAATTCAGTGATTGGTTAACATATAGTTAATAGTTACCAGATTACATACCTTTCTAAAGTGTGTGTGTGGTTTTTTTTAAGTTACAAAGTAATCATTAAATTGGGTACATCTGGCCTTGAAACATCTGTGACCCTCATTGCCCCCCTGCCCCACCCCCTTGCATGACTGCAAAGAAGACAAGCATAGTTCCAAAGTTTATTTTGAGTAAGCATCTGTTCTGAGAATTCTTTTGGATCCGGCTTCCTAAGCAGTAAGCAAAGCCCTTATACTAACTGCTATTAACACTGCCATCCAGTCGGTCCTGACTCACAGCAACCCCTGCTTGGGTTTCTGAGGTGGTATCTTTATGCAAGTAGATTGCCCAGTCTTCTTTCCAAAAAGTGGCTGGGGGCTTTGAACCCACAGCCTTCTGATTAGCATTATGGTGTAGTACATTACATGATACGGCTTTTTTAGCCATAGTATTTGTAACTCCCACTTTGCCATGAGTAACTGAGTAGCTGCTTGTTAAAGTCATCCACCTGGAACAACAACACAAAGCAATCTTCTGTGAAGTTCACTCTCTCTCAGGTGTGTAGAATTCTGATGTTGGGATTGGTTAGTTTGGCCACTCTGCCAGGCTCAAAATGAGCCCTCCTAGAGGCAGGAGAGAGTCTGACTGCCGGCTGAGAAAGAGGTGCTACTGAGAGATGTGAGAGTGACACACTGCTGGGAGAGAGATGCGATAGACACACGCTGCTGAGAGAGAGATGGCCAGCTGAGAGAGACCGAGTGCATTCATGAACTTGAATTGTAGCCTGTTGCTTTCCTAATAAACCCCATAATCTATGAGTTTGGTGTAGCTAGAGCAGCAAATTATCAAAGCCAACAGAGAGGTGGTGGGTGTTGCAGGAGGAAAGGTTTGTGTCAAGATTAGTAAGAGGGCTGGAGGGTGGCGGCATGTCTGGCCTCATAGGAGCAGGCATTGGGTTGCTGATGGTGATTCTGTTCTCCTCTTGTGTAGTTAGAGGAGGTCAGAAGATGCCACCTCCCTGCCCTTTTAGCAGCAGTCGAATGCCTTAATTGCCCTTAAGCAAGCAAAATTGCATTCTTCTCTGAAATTGTTTACCAAATAATTTTCTAAGTACAATGAAATTATAGGAATGACTGGCTATATTCCAGATGCAGAGTTTAGTTTTGATTCAGAATGGAGTTTTAGCTTCAGACCTTAGCAAAGCCACCATCTCATGTCGGAAGTCAGAAGTTGATGTAGGGTGCTCTTACTCAAAAATGAGAACATGATTTCATACAAGTAACACAGACATTAGAATATCATGGAATAAAGAATAGGGCCTGTAATGACAGGCTGCCTGATTGAGACCTGAGCTTTTTCAGTCACAGATTTTGCAAGCTTGTACAAATGACGTAATCTGTCTTTGCTTCACTTTTCTCATTCATAAAGCAAGGATGGTAATAGTATCCAACTCACAGGATTCTTGTTAGGATTAAGTGAGTTAATACATGTAGTATGCCAAAAACAGTCCTTGATGCCTAGAAAGCACTCAGACATTAGCCACTTGATGTACTTTATGTTGAGATCATTTATAAAGCAGTGGGAATGGATGTCATTATCTAGGGAGTAAATAAAGAGAAGGGATGAAGACAGCCCAAGACTGAGCTTTGAGGAGTTCTGGTAAGATGGCGAAATAGGCAGAAAGACTACACAGACCCTTTTCAGCAAAGAAAAGGGGAACCAATTAAAAAAGATACAGAAGATAATCCTGGACCCCTGAGCCTTGAAGGAAAGGATATAGAAGTGGACTAAACTGCAACTAGCAGAAGATTTTGCATGAAAATACCAAAAAAAGGAGACATACAGAGCTGTGGTTTGGCAGCAATCCTGACGGCACAGACAGTTTGGATATTGCAGAGTGGTGGGAGGACCTAAAATTTAACCTAAAAATCAGCTCTGCTAGCCATGGACTGCACAGAGGACTGCTCTGGTGGCTGGGGAATAAAAGGGGAGGCAGCGAAGAGGACAGCAGACTGAGCTGTGGATTTTGTCTGTCTGGAGGGCGCAGGCCTCTTGAATGTTTCCAAGCAGCTTGACTATTTTGGATATTTAAAGCAACAGTGTTCTCCCAGATTGCAGGGGCTTAAGAATAGTCTCCATTTGCCAGTAACCCCAAGGACATTCCGGACCTAGACGACTGGAGAGGTGCAACATTCCCCTTGTTACTCTTACACTCCACACCCTCCTGGTGAATGGAGGTGCAGCCATCGCCTACTCCCACCCACCGTCTGGGTCTGCAGTAACTCCATCCCAGTCTGCGTGCTCTGACGGAGCCCGGGTGCCCTCCCCTACCCTCCCCCGATTTTTTTTTTTCCTTTCTTTCTTTTTTCTGTTTTTTAGTTTGCTTGTTTTTGGGTGTTTTAAAACTACTATTATTATTATTACTTTTGTCCTTTTTACTATTGTTGTTTATTCTTCCCCTCTCAGGTCCTAGTTTTCAGCTTTTTTTCTTTTCCCTGTTCCTGGTTGCAATTTTTTTGTTCTTTGTTTTTTCTTTCACGTAGTTAATCCTATTCCTTGTTTTTCTTTTTGCATTTTTCCCATTTTTTGCTTCATTATTCTCCTTCTCTACCTTTTCTCTGTTATTGCCCTATCCCCAGATATTGCAGGTTTTCTTTTTCCTTCTTCTTTTTCTTTTCTTTCTTTTTTTGGCTACTGTTACTGTGTGATTACATGGTGTATTTTTTTGTCCATGTGCTTTTAGTTTTTTAATGGTTATTCAGTTGTTCTTTTTGTCTAAAGGAGCGGAAGACAGCAACAGTCCCCATACGACAGGACTACACCCAAACCTTCTGCAACTTCATGTACTGAGTGAGAGCTACCACTTCCTTCTCCACCAATAGGCCAACAATAAAAAACCACCAAGAAGAGCCTGAATCACCCTTGGCAGTTCTTCACAAACAGTTAATAGAGATCTAAATGCTACAATGCCACGATGTCTCGGAGGCAACAGACCATCACAGTCCACACAAAGAAGCAAGATAAAGTGGTAGTAACAAGGTAGCAGGAAACAGACCCAGAACACAAGCCTGAGGAAGAAGCAGCATTGGAACTCTCTGACAAAGAATTCAAAAGATATATTTAGATATCTTAAAAGGATTGAGAGACAGACCAAAGAAAACAGAAAAAACACTAGAAGAATTTTGGAAGAAAATACAAGAACAAAATGACAAAATAAATGACAAATTAGAAATGATTCAAAATCTACAGATAGAAATCCAGAAGATTAATACTAAATTGTCAGAAATAGATAACACATTGAAAGGGCAAAGGAGTAGAATTGATGCAATGGAAGACA